GCGGGGATCAATAGCATTGTCATCACTGGGGAGAAACGCAGAATTCAGAAATGTAGATTCTCATGCTCCACCCCTAATCTCCTTCATCAGAACCTGCATTAAGCTCCCCGGATCTTAAAGTTTGGACTGCACGGATGTAAAGCCCCGCCAGGTCTGGCCTACAAGCAGCCTCAATTTCTAACTCCTTCATTCGCCAACTGAAAGGAGAGGATACTTAGGGCCCAGGGCAGCGGGGGATGGAGCTGGATTCCCGAGTGACCTTATACAAGGAGCCTGCCAACCAGAAGTATCAGCATGGGGCTCTGCGTGAGTGGAGACATAAACATCTGTGTATTCAGCCACTGAGATCCAGGCCTTGCTTGTTATAGCAGCTGGCGCAAGTTAATATACATCCTCTCACCCTCACCCAGTTCTTGTCTCCAGGGCTGCTTCCTACTGAGAGCGGGCAGGTTCTGTGTTTCTCGTTGAGCTTCTGGTACCTTGTTGGCTGTCTTGGCATTCCTTGGCTTGTAGAAGCCACCCATCACCCCGATCTCTGCCTTCATCTTCACATGCGTCTCTCTGTGTGAGCACCTGTGTCCAAATTTCCCCTTTCAATAAGGACAGCAGCCATACTGGACTAGGGGGCACCCTAGTTTGACCCTGTCTAGACTAATCACATCTGGAGTGATCTATTTCCAAATAAAATCACATTCTAAGGTTCCATGGCTTCCTTGGTGGCTCAGATGGTAAAGAATCTATATACAATGCAGGAAACCCAGGTTTGATCCCTGGGTTGGGAAGATCCCCTGGGGAAGATCCCCTGGAGAAGGGAATGGCTACCCACTCCAGTATTCTTACCTGGAAAGTTCCATGGACAGAGGAGCCTGGTGGGCTACAGTCCATGGGGTCACAAAGAGTTGGACACAACTGTGTGACTAACACTTTCACTCATGGAGGTTCTAGGGCTTAGGATTTCTACATGTGAATTTCGGGAGGACACACTTCAACTCATAACATCTCTTGTCCCTGTCCCTTTGCCATCCTTGCTGCCATCTCCCTCATTGGGTCACCACCATCTTCTACTTGGACTAATCACTCTCTCAGTCAAGGTCCAGTGTCCCACGGTTTCCAGGAGCAGCGTCTCCAGCAGGCAGAGTCTTTTTTGGTTGGGAGTGGCTGAGGAGCCATTCTCGGGCCTCCAGAGCCCTGAGGGGGCCGGTGGCTGGGCAGTCATGAGAGACCGCCCTCTGCAGAGCTGTGGTGCGGTTTCGGCCTGAGGCTGGCAGCTGTCCCAGCCTTCAGAGACTTCCTTGGGTACCTCTTGCTTCTGGTCCTTGAACCAGGTAGTCATACCTGATATGGACACCCAGGAGAGAACACCTGGGAGAGGTGTTGTGTGATGGGATTGCAAATCAACCCTGAATATTTCCTGGAAGGACTGATGCTGAAGCTCCAATACTTTGGCTACGTGATGCAAAGAGCCAATTTGTTGGAAAAGACCCCGATGCTGGGAAAGATTGAGGGCAAGAGAAGAAGGGGGCAACAGAGGATGAGATGGTTGGATGGCATCACTGACGCAATGGACATGAGTTTGAGTCTACTTGTCCACTCTCTGATCTCACACTTTCAGCCTCCAGCACTGTGAGAAATGTCAGGTGTTCAAGATCCTCCCCTCCCAGTCCAGTCTATGGCATAATTACGGCAGCTTGAGCAGACTTAAACACTTGGGTTCCCCAAATTCTCCCAGCACCGGAGGAAGGAACCCAATCAACCTGAAGACACAAGGAAACTGGCAGAGACAGTGTTGACCGCTGGATCTGGGCTTTCTTTTTGGGATGATGAAATGTTCTGGAGTTAGAGGTGATGGAGACCCTACCCTGTGAATATACTAACAGCCATTGGACCACACACTTGAGTGGGTGAGCTGGATGTTGTGTGGATTATATCTCAATAAGGCTGTTACTGAAAAGAAACTGACCACTGGCAAAACATGGGGACAAGAGGGACTGTGTCAAGGATGGCCCTGGGTTTCTACTGTGGTGGAGCCATCAGAGGAGCTGAGGACAGTCCCCTTTGCTCCCTGGTTGGCTGGTGACCACGGGAGACCCGGGGCCAAGGTCCTGGAGGCAGCAGGACACACAGGCTTGGTTGCAGAAGGGAGTGGGGGCTGGAGCTGCACACTGACAAACCGTGAACCCTGAAAGTGGCTGGGCAGAGAGGGCTGAGGTCCAGTCCCCAGAGCCAACCACCTTTCGGATGGGTTGGCCCAGGGCCGTGGGGCCCTTGAAGGAGGTTGGGGGTGGGGTGTGGAGAACCCGGGGGTCGCTTTCAGGTCTGCCAGGATCAAGGAGGGGCAGTCAGTGCAGGAGAGCGAGCTCTGAGATGCACCCGCTGACTTTAGTGAGTCTTGGTGCCACGCTGCTGGAGCCGTCTCGATGGAGGACATGGGGGCAGGAGGCTGGGCTGGGCCGGTGGGCGGGCTGGGCTGGGAGAAGCGTTTCAGCGATGCTCGCCTCACACCCCCAGGGGCAGGACTCAGGGCGGGAGCCCCTAGAGCCCGCCGCTGCCCCATCTTTAAAATTTGGGTTCTGTGTCAGTAGTTTCCCTTCTCCTTATGAACTTTTACTTAAAATTTCATAATTGAGAGGTTGTTGTGCCATCGCCCAAAGGAACACAGTAATACTCTACCAGCTCCACATGGTGAAGACATACCGAAGCAAGTTTATTGCAGGAAGGAGCAGCCAAGCGGAAACAGGCAAGGAGGGCAGGGCTGCGTCCCGCTGCTGCTGTCCGCCAGGGGCCAGCTTCCTGCACGCTTTCCTCTGTGACGGCGCCGGGGTAGGGGATGTCTGTCTGGCTCTAGAACCGGGGAGGAAGTGGCCACATGAAGGGGGCTCGGGGGTGGGTAGCTACGGGGCCACCCCAGGCGGCTGCAGCGTCCAGATTCACGTCCACTGGGGAGTCCTCGGTCTGAGCAACACGGACCAGCCACCTGCCCTCTGAGGTCACAGGAGGTGCAGAGAGGGGGGGGCGCGTGGATGGGCCCCATCAGAGGGCGGGGCAGACATGCTGAGAGGCGGGGGAACCGGTGACCCTGTGGGGCTGGGGTGACGCTGGCTGCTAGGACTCAGTGCTTCTGGCCTGGCACCTCGGGGCTCTGTGAGGCTCCCCTTCATGAGACTGAGTGGAGAGCCAGCTGGTGGTGGCACACACGTGCCTGTCCACTGAACTTCAGGTGCGGCCGCCTCCCATGGGCATCCTCGTCTGTGGGTCTGGATTGGGGTGTATCTGCTCCCCCCAGGGCTGTGTCTTCAGCCTTGGCCTTGGCTGAGAGCAGTTCACTGTCTCGGGGCAAGAGCGCTGCCCAAAACGTAGCCCAGGTGTCGAGTGTCCACCGTGTGAGGCCAGCAGCACAACGGGCCTCCTGCCTGGGAGGTGGGGGTGGGCCGTCCGGTCATGTTGCTGGGCCATCTCCATGGCCGCTGGCCAGGCTGGTGGGCGAGGGCCCCGTGGAACTGGCAGTCCAGTCAAGGAATGGGTCAGTTACCTGCCTGGGAAGGTAGCCAGGGTCTGGGGGGAGGGGGTCCAGGTGGCCCTAGTTTGGGGGGCCACTTCCACTTCCAACTTGGCCCAGCTTGTGAAAACAAGTCAGGGAGGATGTGGGATGAGTCAGCAGAGGTCCAAGGCCTTTCTTTCAGCTCCACAAGGGCTGGGGGAACAGCCAGCAGGAGACCCCATCCATGAGCTTTCCGAAGACTCCCACCCGCGCCTGGTCCAGCTGACGCTTGGGCCAGGTGAGCAAACGCTGCCCCAGGTGTAGAGGTCTCCCTCTGCCCAACCAAGCTCCATCACTTCCAACCACGAGGCACAAGGACGTGTGGAGTGTGTGGCCTCCTGGTGGCCATCTGCTGCTGCAGCGGGCATGCAGACACACAGCAGCTCTACACGGCGAGGTATAAAATCGGGTTTATTGCAGGAAGGGTGGAGGCAGAGGGACAGCGGGGGGCGTCCGAGCTGTCACTGCCCCGCAGCCTGACGGCAGGCTGCACGGCCAGCTAGGTGGGAGAGGGGGAGCCCCCGGCAATCACAGGGTGGGGGCAAGGAGCCGCTGGCGGGGATGTGGCCCCCTTAGCAAGCTGCAGCCTTGGGTTGGTGGCAGACATTGGCCTGTTGCTCCCGGCTGTGCCAAAAGACAGGAGAAGGGGATGCCCCCGCCCCCATCATCTGGGTCTGTCTCTCCTCTGGCATCAGGCGAACCTGGGCAACCCGGGGCAGTCTGCCCAGAGCAGGCTCCCATGGTGCAACACCACCTGCCCTGGGCATCATCGATACTGGGCTTGATTTAAGTTGGAAAAGAGCAAAGGAAACTCCAACAGATGGTGTAAAAGTCCCCTGGTTTCTGCCTGCTCTGCTACAGGACGGCCACACCCTGGCAGTAGGTGCCCAAGGAGCGTGGAGGCCTGCCTGGCACCTGCCCGGCAAACACCACGTGGGGCAGCTCAGCCTGAAGAGGCGGGAACTTCCCCAAACTAGCCCGCCTTCATCTTGACGTGGCCACCACGATGACTTTCTACTTTATGGAGCCCAAGTGGGACCACACCCGACAGGGAAGTCCTTGGCAAAGCTGTGGGCTCTCAGGATGGCTGGGTGTTTGCGGCTCGGCAGGCTGGGGTGGGGGGAGGTGTCTTTGTGAATAGTGCTTCCTTTCTCTGAGCTTTTCGAGGCCCTCACGGGGGTTCCCCCACCCGTCACGTCACCCCACATCACGAACTGCTGCAGGCCACTAGCTCCCAGGACTCATCTCTGCCAGCAGGGAGACACCATCAAGCATTCTTCCTGGGAGGCCTCTGGAGGAAATGTGAAGCCTGTGGATGCTTTGGAGAATGCAAGAGAGGCTTTGTCGAGCAAAATCTAACCAGGTGGGAAGTGCCAGGGTCCTGCAAGGACCTGGAGCATCCTTGACACTGGCAACACGTTAGGTTGGGTTGATTTCTCTGCTGTCAGGCCGGAGGCGGGCCTCACTGGGACTCGCTGTTGAGTTGTATACTTTCCAACTTTCTGAGGACACAGAAACACACATGCGTCATGCAAATCCAAACATGGCGGAAGGAGATAATGAAGAAAGTTAAGGATAATAAAGTAAAAAATGACCCAGCATAAATAAAATGCAAAAAAAAAAAAAAGGACAGTTAAGGATTCCTATAATCCGTTCCCTCTAGAGATCACCATCAACTAGGTCATTTTTATACACATACATCACATTGGTGCCTTGAAAACATGGAATTGGGAACTCCCTGGCGGTCCAGTGGGTAGGACTTGGTGCTTCCCCTGACATGGCCCAGGGTTCAATCCCTGGTTGAGGAAACTAAGATATGGCTAGCCAAGAGGCGTGGCCAAGAAAACAACAACAAAAGAGAAACCCCATGCCCTTTAACTACACCCCCAACATTCCTCACCCTAGGCAAACTTTAATCTACTTTCTATCTCCATAGATTTGTCCATTCTGGACATTTCATAGAAATGGAATCACACAAGGTGTGGTCTTTTGTGTGTCTGGCCTCTTTCACTTCTCATGTTTTTGAAATTCATCTGTGTTGTAGTGTGTATTAGCAATTCATTCCTTTTTATGGCCAAATAACATTTCATTGTTGGAGAAGGCAATGGCACCCCACTCCGGTACTCTTGCCTGGAGAATCCCATGGAAGGAGAAGCCTGGTAGGCTGCAGTCCATGGGGTTGCTAAAAGTCGGACATGACTGAGCGACTTCACTTTCACTTTTCACTTTCATGCATTGTAGAAGAAAATGGCAACCCACTCTAGTGTTCTTGCCTGGAGAATCCCAGGGACGGGGGAGCCTGGTGGGCTGCCGTCTATGGGGTCGCACAGAGTCAGACACGACTGAAGTGACTTAGCAGCAGCAGAAGCAGCAACATTTCATTGTATGAATAAATTATATCTTGTTTTAAGCAGAAGGTACCTATAGTCACTGATATTCCAGAATCTCAGAAAAAAAGCAGTGCTTAATTGCTCAGTCGTGTCTGACTCTTTGCAACCCCATGGACAGAGGAGCCTGGTGGGCTACAACAATAGCCTGCCAGGCTCCTCTGTCCATGGGATTCTCCAGGCAAGAATACTGGAGGGTTGCCATGCCTTCCTCCAGGGCATCTTCCCAACCCAGGGATGGAACCCAGGTCTCCTGCATTACAGGCGGATTCTTTATTGTCTGAGCCACCAGGGAAGCCCATGAAGAAAAGCAAGTGTTCAGCAAAAATCAAATTCTTTGTACAAACAGGTAATAGTGAGCAACTGTCGTCATTTAGGGACAGTATCAGTCAAGCCCTGGAAGCATCCTGATCTGGAGCCTGGAAGCTCAGGGTCAGCCTTACAAACAGGCTATTTTAAGGACAGGAGTTGCCGGCCTGCTGTGTTAAGTCTCTTCTGTATGATATTGACTTACAAACGGGGAAGCAATTTTGGATTCCTGGCATGATTCCCATTTGGTCATGGTGTAGGATCCTTTTCACGTTGCTGGATTCAGTTTGCGGTATTTTGCTGAGAATTTTTGTATCTGTATTCCTAAGAGATATTGTTCTCTAGTCTTTTCTTGTGGTGTCTTTGTTTGGTTTTGGTGCCAGGCTACCGCCAGCCTTCCAGGATGAGTTGGGATCTAGTTCCCTGACCAGGGATCAAACCAGGTCCCCTGCATTGGAACATGAAGCATTAACCACTAAGACCACCAGGGAAATCTCTCAAAGTATTTTCTAACTTCCCTTGTAATTTTCTTTGAGTCACTGGGTATATTTACAAATATGCTGTTTAACTTCCATGTATTTGTGAGTTTCCCAAATTTTTGTGGTTGACTTCTAATGTCACTCCACTGTGGTCAGACAACATACTCTGTATGATTTCAGTCCTTTTAAATTTGAAGGGTCTTGTCTGATGGCCTACATAATGGTCTATCCTGGGGAATGTGTGCTTGAGAAGAATGTGAATTCTGCTGTAGGTGGCAGCCTCCTTATTGCTCTGCTCCCTCACTTGTTGTTGTTCAGTCGCTCAGTCGTGTCTGACTCTTTGTGACCCCATGGACTGCAGCACACCAGGCCTCCCTGTCCATCAACTCCCGGAGCTTGCTCAAACTCAGGTCCATTGAATCAATGATGTCATCCAACCCTCTCATCCTCTGTCGCCCCCTTCTCCTGCCTTCAGTCTTTCCCAGCATCAGGATCTCTTCCAATAAGTCAGCTCTTCGCATCAGGCGACCAAAGTATTGGAGTTTCAGCTTCAGCATCAGTCCTTCCAATGAGTACTCAGGGTTGAGTTCCTTTAGGATTGACTGGTTTGATCTCCCTGCAGTCCAAGGGACTCTCAAGAGTCTTCTCCAGCACCACAGTTCGAAAGCATCAGTTCTTCGGCACTCAGCCTCCTTTATGCTCCAACTCTTACATCCGTACATGACTACTGGAAAAACCATAGCTTTGACTAGACAGACCTTGTCAGCAAAGTGATATCTCGGCTTTTTAATATACTCCCTTCCTCGGATTGCTTATTTTGGGGGAAAATAGCTGTCCTGTTTGAGGATACTCGAGCAGCCCTAAGGAAAGGTCTACATGGTATAGGCCTCCAGCCCACAGCCCTGTGAGCTAACAGGTCATTTGGAAACACCCACTCCGGCCCCCCTCCTCAAGCTTTCAGATGGCTGAAAGCTTGGAGACCCACACGGAAGACCCCTTCGATCTCACGAGAGATCCGGAGCCAGAACTATCCCATCTAGCCCCTCCCGAAATCTCAACCCACAGACGCTGTGAAAGGCAGTAAGTGTTTGCTGTTCTCAGTCTTGAGGCTCTGGGGTAATTTGTGATGCGGCATTAGATAACCAATATAGTTACCCATAGCTCTGCTGGCATTCAGGAGCACACGTCTCGAGGCACAGTTGAACTTCAGGCAGAAGTTTTACCTTTTCTGAGAGAAAAACATTGAAAACATGGATTACTACCTCTTCTCCTGCTGAAGTTGCCAGAGGCAAAGGCACACCCTGTGGAACAATGATCTCAAGGCCTCAAGGCAGAAGAAAACCAGGCGGAATGACTGACTGGGGGAGTCACTGGGAATTCTGGTTTTCCGATGCCCCAAACCAACGGCGTGCATGTGTGCTAAGTCGCTTCAGTCCTGTCCAACTCTGTGTGAACCCATGGACTGTAGCCCACCAGGCTCCTCTGTCTATGGAATTCTCCAGGCAAGAATACTGGAGTGGGTAGCCATTTTCTGGGTCGGGGATCTTCCCGACCCAGAGATTGAACCCTTCTGTCTCTTGCATCTCCTGCACTGGCAGGCAAGTTCTTTACCAGGTGAGCCACCAAAGAAACCCCAAACTACCTATGTCAGGTAAAATAAGCTATTGGAGATTGCGAGTCAGGCTTCACCTTGTCACCAAAAAGATTGGAAGGCAACTAGATCTCAAAGAGGTCACACCCTTCATCCTGCCAAAGGCGAGTCACAGAGCCTCCTCCTTGGTTAAGTCAAACTGGCTTTCTCATGGAAAAAAAAAAAACTTAAAGCAGAAATCAAGTTTCCTTTGGCTGTTTTATGCAACTTGGATTCATTCCTGTGTAAGATGTGGCCCTTCCTATTTCCATGAATTAATATGAGACACATACCGCTTTCTAAAGACTGGTTTTTACATTCTGTTTATTTGAAGCGAAACCAAGTTCAGCTCACCATGGTTAATCATTTGCAAAACTATGTGTGTGTGCACGTGCTCATGCTTGTGTGTGCATACTCGGTGGTACATCCGTCTAGAGCAGTCTATATTTTTTTAACAGATTTTCAAAAGATACTACCATTCATAAAAAATGAAGACCTCTTAGTGTAAAAGAGAGGAAAGAAAATGGCAGTTAGAATGGGAGTGTTTGCTTGTTTGTTTTGTTTGGCTGCACTTGTGTGACTTGAGGGATCTTAGTTTCCCAACCAGGGATTGAACCCAGGCAGTGAGAACATGGCATCCTAATGACTGGACTGCCAGAGAATTCCCAGGGAAGTTGTTTTTAATAATGGGACAGATTTAGGGACTTTCTGGGTGGTCCAACCCTGGAAGGACTGATGCTGAACCTGAAGCTCCAATAGTTTGGCCACCTGAGGCGAAGAGCTGACTCATTGGAAAAGACCCTGATGCTGGGAAAGATGGAAGGCAGGAGGAGAAGGGGATGACAGAAGATGAGATGGTTGGATGGCATCACTGACTCCATGGACATGAGTTTGAGTAAACTCCGGGAGTTGGTGAAGGACAGGGAAGCCTGGTGTGCTGCAGTCCATGGGGTCACAAAGAGTCAGACACGACCAAGCAACTCAACAACTGGTGGTCCAGAGGTTAAGACTGTGCTTCCAGTGCAAGGGGTGTGGGTTAGTTCCCTGTTGGGGGAATGAAGATCCCACAGGCCTCACAGCACCCCCCAAAAAAGGATGGGACAGACTTAGGGGTGTCTCTCGATCCAGGAGAAGGAGCCAGTGGGAGGTAGGGTAGGAGACTCTAGAGAGGCAGGAAGCCCAGGGAACAAAGCTCCCCAGACAGTGTCGGCCCCCTGGGGTGTCTGAACCTCAGCCTGGCAGAGAGCCTCGTCCACGGCCCTGTCCGTACCTGGGTCCTCCTGCTGGGCTGGGCTGGGGAGCCGCTCCCGCTGCCGCAGCGCCTCCAGGCCCGCCAGGTCGGGCGGGTGGCAGTGGCTGCGCATGATGGTCACCTGTGGGCCCTGGGTGATGGCGCGGCTGCGGCAGCCCTTACGGGCCTGGTCCCGGCACATCCAGTACACCTTCTCCCCGGCCGCCTTCTCCTTCCTGTAGAGGAAGGACTCGTACACCAGGAACCGGCCTCCGAGGGAAGTCCTCAGGAACTCCAGGGGCTGGGGGGCTTCTGGAAGGAACAGGCTGTGCGAGTGGGGTGCCTGGGCGGGGCCCCGGAAGCAGGGTGCAGAGCTCCAGCCAGAAAAGCGGGGACCGTGCGCCCATCCCAGCTGGTGCCGCAGGGCCCTGGGGACTGAAGCTCAGGCTGCCTCAGCCCTGTCACCTTGGGGTGCGGGCCATCTGTCTGTCTGTCTGAGGGCCTTGGGGCTACCGGGGAGGCTGGCCCCACGGCTGCCCAAACCCTGAGTTTTCCTGCAGGCCCCTGCTGACCCAACTTGACCTCCACACCGGCTGGCAGGCGCCCCAGGCCAGGGGCTGGACTGGAACACTCTGGAAGGCCCGAGGTTGGTCTGGACCGTGTACCTGCGTGTACCAGGGGGCTCCCCGCTCCGGGGCCACCCACCCATTGGCCAGCTGGCGACTAGTCAGATTCTCCTTCAGGAGACGTTTTAAGAATCTGAACTGAAAGCTCATGGCATGTCGGGGTGGTGGTGGCCGGAAGGTAGGGGTGGGGAGAGAAGGGCAGACAGAGTGTCTCCCATGTCCGGGAGCACTTCCCGCGGCTCCTGTTATCGCCCCTGCCCCGCTGCCTTCTCCAGCAGTCTGAGGGGGTCTCCCCCTGAGACCGCAGCCCCACCAGGACCAGCGCGGGAGTGTGGGGCCCCTTCCCCCGGGAGCTCACCGCCCAGGGGGACAGACCCGCCCCACCTGGGCCACAGTACGAGTGTCCCACCAGGCGCCCTGCAGTCCAAGCCCTGGGCTGTCCCCAGGGACTGCTGGGCCCCCAGGGAGACCAGGCCCAGTTCCCACCCACCCCCACGCCATTGCCCGCACCTGAGCCTTCCCTCTGGGCTGGGCTGGGGAGCTGCTCCCGCTGCCGCAGCGCCTCCAGGCCCCCCAGATCGGGCGGGTGGCAGTGTCTGCGCATCACCATGACCCGTGGGCCCTGGGTGATGGCGCGGCTGCGGCAGCCCATGCGGGCCTGGTCCCGGCACGTCCAGTACACCTTCTCCCCGGCCGCCTTCTCCCGCCGGTAGAGGAAGGACTCGTACACCAGGAAGCTGCCCCCCAAAGGGGTCCTCAGGAACTCGGGGCCTCCTGGGGAGAGGAGGGACGGGGTCAGGGGAGGGAGGCAGGGAGGGTGGGCTGCTGTTCCGAGGTGTTGAGAGGGGGACCCAGGAGGTTCTGATTCGAGAACTCCCTTCCTGCCGTCCAGACACCGGGACCATGCAGGGGAGGGGGGTTGGAGGGTCTGTCAGGAGCGGGGGTGGCAGCTGTCGGCGGGGGGCGGTGCGTGGCCAGAGAGGAGGTATGGGACGGGGGCATGTTTCTGCTCTCCCTGCACTTGATGAAAACAGAATGAGTGAAAAAGGCACAGGGCACGAACCAGAGATTCAAGGAGGGGAGGAGAGGGCAGAGGTGCTGACGCAGGTGAGAGGCTGGGCAGAGGGGGCACCTGGTCACAGAGCTGGCAAAGCAAGGGCTCGCCCAGCCTGCGGGGGACACTCTCAGAACAGGCAGAGTCCAGTGGCTGAGCCCAGGCCAGGCCCCAAACAGCAGACTGGCAAGGGCTGTCTGCCTGAAGGGCAATGAGACAGGTGCCCGTCTGGAGGAAGAGTGTGGGGTATGGGGAGAGGAGGAGGAAGTCTGCAGCCCACCTTGTTTCCCCGCCCGAGTCCCCGGAGCCGGCAGCCAGGCCAGGCTCTGAGCTCTGGGGTCTCTCGCATCACCAGGTTGGCGCCCACATACAGAGCGCGTGGGTCTCACCTTCAACCTGGCGGACAGCCAAGGACCACTGGACACGTGATCAAAGATTCTCATGTCTTCCACAATCGAAAAGTCAAGATTCTTATACCAAGTATCTCATATGAGGCCACGCAAAGCAATTTAAAGTGTATACAACAATCATTCCCAGGAATTCCCTAGAGGTCCAGCGCTTAGGACTCCTCACTTTCACTGCTGGGGGCAGGGGTTCAATTCCTGGTTGGGGAATTAAGATCCTGTAAGCTATGTAGCATTCCCCCCTCCCCCCCAAAAATCATTCCCCTTCAATTTGTGCAGCTTTAAACAACTGTGTGATTGACAGAAAATGGAAGTGAATGGCATATACCTGCTTGGAAAATTTCACCTGCTGACAAAACAAAAAAGAGAGAGAAAGAGAGACAAGCTTTACCCTAAAAGGCAGGGACCAAAGAAACCCACAGAGAAAAGGCCGCTGCCAGGGGCTGGGTGAGGGTGGGGTGGGCTTTCTGCTCTGGGATGATGGGTCAAAAAGGAGCTCAAATACGAGAGTGAAAGTTAGAAAGTAAATTGAAGGACTGGAAAGCAAAATCAAGGAAGTGTGTGAAAAATGGGAACTTGAACGTCATGGAACATGAGGAAATTTCCATGAGTGAAGGACATGAGTTTCTGGCCTGAAAAGGCCCCAAGTGCCCCCCAGCCCAGCAACGCACTCCAGGGGTGGAGACACGACCTTACACCTTCAAGCAAAGGCCCCTCCACGTGCGTAGGATCAGTCCCGAGCACAGAGACCAGACGGCCACTGAGAAGGAGCCACAGATAGCCTGGTCCCACTCGGCCGGTGCGGTTCATAGAAAAAAAGTACAGCAGCTGCATTGACAGGAGAGGGCAGCACCGGGGGGGGGGGGATCTGCTGGGGCCCCCTGTCTCTGGTCGGAGGTCAACAGGCAATGAGGAGATAAAAGACCAGCTGACAGCAGGCTTCAGAGAAGAGAGAAAGAACAAAGGACTGAGCGGTTACTCAGGATGGGAATTGGGGGTGAGGATGGAAAGGGGTGAGACCATCCCCAGGTACACAGAAGTTACAAGGAAATGGGATAAAAAGAGAGTCGGGAAGAAAAAAGAAGAAATCAGAGGTCTCGAGTTTGAGAGAATTTTAGGGCCAGCCAGGCTCTAAAGGCGATTCAGAAAAGTATGGGGCTGGGAACTCCGGAGGAGAGGCAGGTGGAGGCATGGACAGACCTGAGCAGAGAGCGCCAGCGAGCAGGGAGGGCCGGGCCAAGGCTGCTCTTGGCGAGACAGGAACATGTAAGTTACTGCGGCCTCATAAGGGTCAGACATAGGTCCCGTGGGGCCGTCAAGGCGGGAGGAGGGCCCGGGACCCTAACTGCCCAGCCCAGAGGGACGATGGCAGGTGCTGGGGGGAGTGAAGCAATCACAGGACCGTGTCACCTTCAGCCCTCAATACTTGTTACTGGGTGTGGTGTCAGCCACCCCCCAACTCTGGAAAAATGAGAAACCACCCTGTGCCATCAGCTTCCTCTATAAATCCTATTGCAGTCTTCCCTTGTAGCTCAGCTGGTAAAGAATCTGCCTACAATGCAGGAGACACAGGTTCGATTCCCGGGTCAGGAAGATCCCCTGGAGAAGGAAATGTCAATCCACTCCAGTATTCTTGTCTGGAGAATCCCACGGACAGAGGAGCCTGGCGGGCTACAGTCCACAGGGTCACAAAAGTTGGACACGACTTGGCGGCTAAGCCACCGCCACCGCCATAAACCCTATACATGCGAACCAAGAAAGGAAAAGAAGAGAAGGAGCAAAGGGAGCCTGGGCTGATCAGGTGTGCAGAGGTTCCGGGCTGGTCTGGGCAGGAGGGAGAGGAAGGGGATGAGGTGAGGTGGGGGTGGCGGGGGAGGGGAAGACGAGGAGGGGAGGAGCCAGGAGGGAGCTGCAACGTTTCAGAAGTTTCCAGTAAGGACGGGAGGATGCTTGCTGGAGGTCAAGAGGGCACGGCGGGCAGTCTGGGTCTCCTGCCTGTCCACTGAGGCTGCCCCCCACCCCCGACCCTGTCCGTCTGACCAACCTGGGCTTCCTCGCTGGGCTGTGCCGGGGCGTTTCTCCCGCTGCCGCAGCACCTCCAGGCCCCCCAGGTCGGGCGGGTGGCAGTGGCCTCGCATCACTGTCACCCGCCGGCCCTGGGTGATGGCGCGGCTGCGGCAGCCCATGCGGGCCTGGTCCCGGCACGTCCAGTACACCTTCTCCCCGGCCGCCTTCTCCCGCCGGTAGAGGAAGGACTCGTACACCAGGAAGCTGCCCCCCAAAGGGGTCCTCAGGAACTCGGGGCCTCCTGGGGAGAGGAGGGAGCGTGGTGGGACAGGAGCTGGGGGCGGGGTGCCGGGGGCCAGGTCGGGCCTGGTGTCGCCCCCCTCCTGCCTCCTGGGACCTTGGGGAGCAAGACTGGAGGGAGGTCTGACCCAGCGGGTGTGGACTCACCCGGGTCCTCCTCCTTGTCCTCCTCGCCTTCGGGCTCAGCCGGGAGGTCCTCGTCGTTGGCCGTCGGGCGCTTCCTGGGCCGGGGCCTGGTGAGAGTCAGGGGCCCGGGCCCTCTGCGGTAGAGCAGGCTGTCCACGCCTTGGAGCGGCTTGTCCTCCGGGCCCCCAGGGCCGCCCGGCTGGGCCCGCAGAGCCGTCATGGCCCGCTCCTGCTGCCGCCGGGCCTTCAGGCCTTCCACGTCGGGTGCGTGGCAGTGGCCCCGCATGACAGTCACCCGATGGCCCTGGGTGATGGCCCGGCTGCGGCAGCCGTGCTGCGTGTGGTCCCGGCACGTCCAGTACACCTTGTCCCCCACGGCCTTCTCCCGCTTGTACAAGAAGGACTGGTGCACCAGGAAGCTGCCCCCATAGCAGGTCCTGAGGAACTCCAGGGGCGGGGGCCCTCCTGGAGGAGGAAGCGGGGAGGGGGCTGGGTGGGTGCCTGCTGCGGGGGCTCCAGGTGCGTCCCCGGGGACCACCTGCCCAGCGAGCCAGGAGGCCGTGCCCCTCTCCTGGTGGCCAGTGGGGGGTGGTCTCAGGGTGGGGTGGGGAGGGCTGAGCCAGCTCTGACGTGCCATACTTCTGCTTAGGGTTTATTTGAAAACTGGATCTAGTTTTTGAATAACACAGGCATACTCCATAAAATAAAATGGGACCAGAAGACACACCGTGGGAGACATATGCCCTGCCCCCAGCCCCTTAAATCCCTGAACTCTTTAATCCTTCCCAGGTTAGGAGGCCCACAGCCTCAGGGACCAAGCCCTCCTCCCAGTGACTGCTAATAAAACCTCTGCAAAAACAAAATGAAAGTCAACAAACAGATGAAGAATGAAAACCTCTGCAAAGACTCCATCTAGCAGTGACTCAGAGACAACACATGCTGGACTAGGGCTGGCATTTCCCACCCATCAGCGCCCAGTCCCCTTACAGCGAGGCCATCACCTATCTTGTGAACCTGCAGAACTTCATCAAGGCTGCCCAGCCGCGTAAGGTGGGGCCAGTCCTTGAACCTGGGCTATGAAGCTCACATCTCCCACCAGGCCCACCTCCCCAAACTTCATAGGTTGCCAGCACTCCGTGGGGCCCACAAACCTCAGGTTTGTGTCTCAGGAAGCTCCAGGAGGACCTGGGCCGCCCAGTCCATGAGCACTGCTTCTATTCCCATGGGCTTAATGATTATTGGGACACCTTTATATTTTTAAAATCATTTTTTGACTTTGAGCGTGTTAAGAAGCCACAGAGGACCCAGCTGTGTCTTTGGGCAGAGGAAAGGGGCGTGGTTCCCGCCTGCTCAAGGGTAAGGCCAGGGTGGGGGGCACTCACTGCTCCCCAGCGTCGAGCGTTTCTTCGGGGGCAATCTCATCAGCGCCAGGGCTCGGAGCCCCTCGTCCTCCTCGAGGGCCGGGTTGCTGAGCAGCGGGCCTGGGGTCGGCTCTGGCTCCACGGGGCACAGCCACGGGCCCGCCCCCTCTAGGGGCTCCTCCACCCGGCTGTCGGGGCCCTGGGAACCCGCCAAGCCTTCGGGCAGGGCCGGGCCGGGCAGCTTCTGCCTCTGGCGCCGGGCCTCCAGGCCCTCCTCGTCGGGCGGGTGGCAGTGGCCCCGCATGATGGTGGCGCGCGGGCCGTGGGTGATGGCCCGGCCCCGACAGCCCAGCTCAGTGCGCTCGCGGCACTTCCAGTACACCTTGTCGCCCACGGCCTTCTCCTGCTTGTACAGGAAGGACTCCAGCACCAGCAGGCGGCCCCCAAACGGGGTCCTCAGGAACTCCAGGGGCTGGGTAACTGCAGAAGACAAGGTGGGGGGCAGGCCAGCTGACACGGAGCAAGGCTTGTGGCCAGGGGCATGGATGGGAACACAGGGATGGGGGAGCCCAGGGATGCTTTCCTGCCATCGTCGCACCAGCCTGGGACAAGGTCAGGGAGGCCCTGCTCAGAGCAGGGAAGGGATGGCCAAGGTCACCCTGCTGGCAAAGCCCAAGTCTGAGCACGCAGGGCCACAAAGGTGGCCAGCTGGGGGCAGCTGGCCTGGAACTCACCAATGCTTGGCTTGCTGGGTTTCAGTGCCTGGGTCTGGGGCCTTGGCTGGACCACCCCACGCTGTTCCTCTACTGGCAGGATCTGGGGAGTCCCAGCCAGGGTGTCAGGGTCAGCCATCTCCAGGGTGAGGACACAGTGAACTTCTTCGGACTGGGGGTCCACTCCATCCCCACTCTCAGTGGAGGCTGCCAGGAGGACCAGTTCAGAGAACTCCATGGGCTTCGTGGGGGCTTCGAGGACGACATCTGTGCCCGCCTCAGGGGGCTCAGGCGAGGGCTCCTGGCCAGCCTTCACACTTTCGCCTTCCTGCTCGCTGGGCTCGGGCAGGGGCATTCTGGGACAGGCGGCCGGGCCTCCAGGCCACGCTCAGGTCTCAGTAGGATTTGTCCTCCACCTCCCTGCAAGGAACCTGGCAGTCCAGGGGCTCTGTCCTGAGGGAGGAGGCAAAATCCCATCAGCGGGGACGTCCCTGGCAATCCAGTGGATAAGACTCTGCGCTTCTAATGCAGGAGACATAGGTTCGATCCCTGGCTGGGGAACTAAGATCTCACATGGGAAAAAGAAGTCCCATCAGTGGAGGGGCCCTTGGGCCAGGGTTCAGGAGGAATCTGGGCTGGAGGTCAGGACAGGAGGGCTGCCCTGTGCCCCCCACGCCTGCCCCCACCTTGGGGAAGGACCTGAATGCAGCTGGAGAACCTGGGCCGGCATGTCTGCTGTCTTGGCAGCCTCGGGACCATCACCTCCCCCCACCAAACGTCACTCCCCATCTGTAAAATGTGCCAGAAACAGGGCTCTCCAGGGACCGCTGGGGTGACCAAGGTGCTGACAGCCATGAGTTACTAGGAGTCCAGGCCCACAGGTGCTGAGCTCAGGGTGGAGTGCTTCCACGGGTGTTTCCCATTTAACCTTCACCCCACATTATGGAAGTTGATCATTCCCATCGACCCAGGTTACAGATGAGAACACGGAGCACATGGCCATGCAGCAGAGCGGGGGGTCTGGTTGAGCTGGTCCAGGGCCCGCCCCGCACTGCACTTGGGCAACCTGCGCCAGGATAACAGGAGCCGGTCTTCCTGAGCAACAGGCATCGGGGAAAAGCACTGGGGGATGTGAGCTCAGGTCACTGACCCTCCCAGAAGGCCTGCTGCCCTTCACCCTGACAGTGTCTGTGTCACCAGGAGTGGGGGCTGGGCCCCCAGGGCACTCTGCAGACCCCAGAGGGGAGCCAGGCCCTGGGAGACGGGACTCTGGGTTCCCAAATAGATCCAGTCTCCTTCCCAGGCCAGAGGCCCGGGCCGCCCAGGGCTAGGGGATGCCAGGGCCCCAGGAGGGCAGTGACTTCTGTCTGAGCTGGTGCTGGCACTGCCCCAGCTGAGTGGGGACAGGGCTGTGGAGGTGTCCAGAGGAGCCGTGGTCACTGAGGGCTCCCTGGCTGCTGGTCTGGAGAAGCAGAAAGGATGGCTGACAGGGTCCCGGGCTGGCCTGGAGACCTGGGCTCTGGGGCATCGGTGGCCGGTTTTTCCTCTTGGGGGACTGGGTGGGAAGCATGTCGGGTCTTCCCCACCTCTCATAACAGCCCAGAATGGGACCTCAGCCTCCGGGTAAGTTTCGGCTTCCCCATCTGTGAGCTGTCAGCCCCATCCTGTGTTCTGCGGTCCCGATACCCGGGTCCCCCATTCCTGCCGCCTGGCGTTTCCTGGTCTGGGGCCCACATGCAGCTTCCCAAGGTCTATCAGATCACGCGCGGCGCTCCTGGGTCCCCGTAGAGGCAGAGTCAAGGCCACCGAGGGCAGCAGCAAAGCCCCGTCCCGATGGGCGGGGATTCAAGGAAACCCAGGGTACAGGTAAGGGGACGCCTGACGGATTGCCCGGCCAGGTCCTTCCTCTAGCGTCATCCTCCCACCCCTGCTGCCCCGGTGAGGCCCTTCCCACCCCGCCCCTAAGGCCGGCTCGGCGGCCCTGGGGACCCGGGGTCACGTGTGATGGCCGAGGCGGGACAGCGGCGGCGCCTCGGCGCGCGCGGCCGCTCTGGCGGAAAAGGCCCCCAAGATGAGTCCCGCCCCCTGGCCGCCCCGCCCCCGCACGCTGATTGGCCCCGGCGGCACGTCCGTCCGCCAGGAGCCCGCCCCCGGGGCTTGAGTGCTCGGGGTTGAGCGGCTCAGGAACGCGGTGTCGACCCCGCGTCCTTCCCAGGACACTGCGAGAGGCATCAGGGAGCCGGCCCTCCCTCCCACAGGCCGTTCAGACAGCTCAGGCCGCCAAAGCGTTGCGGTCACTGCCCACCCAGCACGCACATTCCTACGGGACCCTGCGCTCGGTCCACAGTGGAGGCAGCAAGGACCCTGACTTCAGTCTCAGGCGATCAGAGGCAGAAGCCTTCCGATAGAGAGCCCCCACATTCCGGTGGAACTGCACCCAGAGTCACGGGCGCCCCGAGTCAGTGTAATTCTCTCAACTGAAGCTTCTGTTTACAAAGCTTAAAATATACCACTCCAGTATTCTTGCCTGGAGAATCCCCATGGACAAAAGGAGCCTGGAGGGCTGCAGGCCATGGGGTCGCAAACAGTGGGACATGACTGAGCGACTAAGCACTCACAAAGGATGTACCTCAAAGGATATGGAACAAATTCCAGTGCAACAAAAGACCTCGAACTGTGGCGGACCACAGGCTGTGGAAAGGCTTGGGTCCTTGCAAGGGGCTGCAATTTAGATTTGATTGAGGGTTCCCATTCTCAACCACTAAAGGGCCTTGAAGTGTAGATTGTTTAATGACCGCAAATCCTCCCATAAAGTATGCAGGCCCCTCTGCAATGTGGTCTTGAACCTGGTCTCCAGCCCAGACTGGTCACTTGCTGTAGCCAATAGAGCAGGGCAGAAGCTTGCTGTGGGGGGTCACCCTCTGAGACAGCCAGGGAAGGAAGCTATATGAGGGGCCACAAGCAGGATGGAGGCAATGCCTGGCCTGGAGGGGGGCCATCTCCACTGTCAAGTTCAGCGACCCTCCAGCTGTGTGTAACCACAAGAGCCAGGGGAAAGTGGCCCACGCACCCCATGGAATCCTGATCAATAATAGACTACAGTTATTTTAAGCCAGTAAGATCAGGGCTCATTAGTTACGCAGCAATAACTGATATTCTTGGCATGCAACTGAACATAGTCAGTTTTGACTTTTTGATAGATGGAGTAATACTAATGGATGTGGAATATCCAATATCAAAGGGCTTGTGAACTCTTGAACTCTAAGGGTCATCCAACACAAATTTTAAATCCCTCAGATGCTCACATTTGAAAGGCTGGTAACTCAATGAGAGGAACAAAATATTAAGTATAAAGGATATCAAATGAGAATTGTGCATTTTAAGATGTAACATGATATAAGCCAAACACAAGAGGACAAATGCTCTATGATTCCATACATGATGTAGCTAGAGTAGTCAAATTCATAGTTGACAGGGGCTGGCAGGGAGGAGGAATGGGGAGTTAGTGTTTAATGGGACCATTTTGGGCTTCCCCGATAAAGAACCCACCTGCAGTGCAGGAGACACAGGAGAGGAGATGTGGGTTCAATAACCCACTCCAGCATTGTTGCCTAGAGAATCCCATGGACAGAGGAGCCTGGTGGGCTATGTCACAGTCAGATACGACTGCGCATGCACTCATGGGGACCGTTTCAGTTTGGGAAGATGAAAAATTTCTGGAGATGGATGGTGGTGATGATTGAACAACAATGTGAATGTACTTAATGCCACTGAACTGTCACTTAAAAGTGGTTAAAGTAGTAAATTTTTGTTATGTTTATTTTATCACACATGCAAATAAAATTTTTTTTTAAAAACCCCACAACTATAGCAAACTATACACAGTAATGCTCCATTTATCATACTGCTGAATGAGGTTCTCCACACAATGCATATTTCTGATGAAAGTTATTCCTCCATGATTCCAAATTTTACAATTTCTTTTTCACAGCTCATCCATTGAGGATGAATGCTTCTTAAGCTCTAATGACTCATCACTGTCTGGATAAAGAGAGCATACAAATTTTATCCTGATATGGAGAATGAAGTGTCCAATCCAGTTCCCTTGGTACCCCCACACCGGGGCCTTTTCTCCATCTGAACGATCTGCTTTCCCTGGCCCCCAAACCTCTCTGCCTCCTCTGGGTCTCTGCATTTAGGGTTCTCAGGCCTAAGCTTCTCATTGTTGCTGTTCTGTCGCTCAGTCGTGTCCGACTCTGCGACCCCGTGGACTGCAGCACACCAGGCTCCTCTGTCCTTCATCGTCTCCTGGAGTTTGCTCAAACTCATGTCCTTTGAGTCAAAGATGCCTAAGCTTCTTACATCTCCTAAATCCTAAAACAAAAGCTCACAAAACCCCTCCTTCCCTCAACAGTTAGACTTTTTGGAACAGTCCACACCCCTTCCTTCTCCGCTAGGCCATCTAGCACCTGCCCCCTACTCTTCAGACCACCATCTTCCTCTTTGGCCTGAGCACAGAATTGGCACCTGCTGGGTTAACACAAAATCCATGCTTCTCTCCCAAACACCTGGTCTGGCCTGTATGTGGTCTATCCATGCAATGGAATTTATTCAGCCTTAAAAATGAATGAGGGCTTCCCTGATGGCTCAGTGGTTAAAAAAAAAAAAAAATCCACTTGCCAAGCAGGAGACACAGGTTCAATCCCTGGATCAGGAAGATCCCCTGGAGAAGAAAATGGCAACCCACTTTGCCTGGAAAATCCCATG